CGGGTCGGGTCGGGTCGGGTCAGATTTAGACCCGAAGTCGTACCCGACCCGGTTTCGGGTACCGCGCCCTAAGTCGGGTCGAGTATTTGGCCCAACCCGACTTTTCCTCCCTCGACAAGTTGCACTAAAGCAGATCGCGAAGTCAATGTCTAGGGTTTGTTTGTTCCCTCGACATTGACATTCCCTCGACAAGTTGCACTAAAGCAGATCGCGAAGTCAATGTCTAAACCCTAGACCGGAGCTGCTGTAGTAATCCATTACCTAACTGCTGCTGTAGTAGGTCATCGTCAAAGTGAAGAGGAAGAAATCGAACGCAAAGATTATTGAAGGGAAAAGCGGCCTGACATTGAGTGAGTCTGGTAGAAGTTGGCAACAAATTGGATGGGGTGAAGGTGGGTTGTGAGCGGTGGATAAGAGGGAATGATCCACCAACAATCTCGAAATTCAGATCTGAAGTTGCTTTAGCAACGCGCGAACTCAGATCTGAATTTCTAGACTCAAATTTGAGTTCGCCAGATCGCGAACTCATCTGATTTTTTTTTTCCGGTCAGCCCGAGCCAAATTTGGCGAATTTTAGAAAAATCCGCAGCGTACGAATTCTAGATGCGTATAAACTCAATACGCAACTTGAAACTAGCGTTTTTTCCAACTTAGGAACCTCTTACCCTGCATATGGGGTCCTGGCCCGACCCGACCCGACCCGGCCCCTACCCGACCCGACCCGGGGGCGGGTCACGCCTGACCCGGCACCCGATACCCGGGTCGGGCCAGGATTTTTTGAAGTTCCGACCCGACCTGACCCGACCCGGAACCCGGCTGGCCCGCCCAAGTCGGGTCGGGTCGGGTCGGGTCGGGCCTAATGATCATGCCTCTTGCTCCTGAGCGAATACATACTCCTTGCTTGCCGATGTGTGAAAGTTTGCCCATGTGACCACCATCGCGACCAGCATCAGAAGCAGGGTCACTTTTCAGATGACTCAGTAACAGCCTTGACCCCTTCCTTCTTCCCATCCCCTTCCTTGCCCAGTGGTGGTATCCAGAAGCGATCAAGTCGACACGGCAGCCTGCTCCCTGCTCTGCGACTTTGCTCTCGCCCCATCGCCATCAGCATCAGAAGCAGGGGCAGGAGCACAAGCACCAGCAGCAGCAGCAGCAGCAGCAGCAGCAACCGAAGGTGCAGGGTCAGCAGCAGATGTGCAGCAAGCAGAGTTGCAGCAAGTGCGGCCTTTCCTCTTGTCCCCAACCACGGGCCTCTCCCCTCCCTCCCTCCCTGTCATCGGCTCTTCCCACACCCCCTTCCCCTCTGCCTCCTCCTCGCTCCACCTCCCCTTCACCCCCCCTCCCTCCTCCTCGCACTCCGCCTCCCTGCTGCCTCCGCTGGTTCCTGTTTGGCTCCCGGGGTACGCTGACGTGGCAGCAGCTCTGCTGGCTGTTGGATTCTCCCCATCTCTCCTCTGGAGAGATCAAATGGCCATGGAATACAGTGCGCACACGCCTAACCCACACTCACCACCTTCTGCCGCCGCCGCCGCCGCCGCCGTCGCCGCCGCCGTCGCCGCCGCCGCCGCCGCCGCCGCCGCTGCTGCTCGAGCTGTTGACAGCACGGCACGTCCTAGTCCCCCGACATCCTTAAAGCCCTTGCTCTCCACAACAATACCCTCCACAATACCCTCCACAATACCCTCCGCGTGCATTCAAGCCGTGGCATCGAGTCAACCCCCTCCTGAGACGGCTCAAGAACCCGCAAGACCTGGAACGTCCATCCAAGAAGTGGTATCAACACGGCTTCGCAAAACGGACCTCCTCCTGAAAACCATCGCTGCACTATGCATCAGCCAGTCAGTTTCGCCTACAAATCACCCCTCGTTACTGCCCCAGCCCCACCTAGCGCTGCTCTTCCTGCACGTGCTGCACCTACTAGCAGACCACTCCCACCTGCTGCCACTGCACACTGCAGCGCTCAGAGCGCTCACTGCCATCGCCACCTGCAGCAGCAGTCAGGAGGACTCTCCAGGGTTTCTCACCGACGACCGCTTCGCCCATCGCCTGCTCTGGTGAGTGCTCTGTGCTTTGTACTGCCCCAGACCCAACTGCCTCTGCTCTTCCTGCACGTGCTTCACCTCCTGGCGGACCACTCCCACCTGCTGCCGCTGCACACTGCAGCGCTCAGATCAGAACCCTCACTGCCATCGCCACCTGCAGCAGCAGTGAAACTGGTTGTCTGGGGTTTTTTTCCAAGGAGCAGTTTCCACACCGCCTTCTCTGGTGAGTGCTGCGTGCCGAATGAATGGGTAGGTTTCTGCTTTTGAGGCGCCTCATAATTTTTCTCACCGCCTTCTCGCGTGAGTGCTGCGTGCCGAATGAACGGGTGGGTTTCTGCTTTTGAGGAGCCTCAAAAGTTTTCTCACCGCCTTCTCTGGTGAGTGCTGCGTGCTCATGCTGAATGAAAGGGTGCGTTTCTCCTCCTGTGGGTGGTTGGTCTCCCACCTGCTGCCACTGCACACTGCGGCACTCAGAGTCCTCACTGCCTTTGCCACAAACAGCATCAGCAGCCACACTGCTACCTGTATCAGCAGCCACACTGGTACCTGTATCAGCAGCCACACTGCTACCTGTATCAGCAGCCACACTGCTACCTGTATCAGCAGTGAGAAGGACTGTCAGAGGTTTCTCGCCGAGAGTCGGTTCACCCACCTCCTTCTCTGGTGGTGTGGGGTGAGTGTGGGGTGAGTGTGCATGTGTGGAGTGAAATCGAGTTTTGAGACGTCGCAAAGCTCGTGGTAAGTGAAATCGTGGGACGCACCCCGCTTTCTCCCAACACTGGTTTGCCTCCAACCTGAGTGTTTTTCAGTCGACTCTGATTTCCGTGCTCCCCTTCCCCTTCCCCTCCCTATCTCACCCTCTCTATCCCTCTCTCCCCCTCTCTCTCACCCTCTCTCACTCCAGGGCCATGGCAGCTGATCCAATCTCCGTGCGGACAACACGACCTTCACTCAACACTGGCTCTCTTTTGAGACGTCTCAAAAAAAACATGGCAGCTGATCCAATCTCCTTGCGGACGACACGACCTTCGCTCAACACTGGCTCTCATGCCCTCCTTCGCATGGCGGCACCTTGTGTCTTGCAGTTGACTTGAGACTTCTTCCTCCTACTTCCCATACGTCGCTCTCTCACTCCAGGGCCATGGCAGCTGACCCAATCTCCCTGCAGACCACACCACCTTCAACCGACGTTGTCTCCCATGTGGCACCGTCCATCAATCACACTCCGCCACCTGGCAAGCACTGGTGGCTGGCAGCGCTCCCGCTCGTCCTCGCCCTCCCCGCTGCCTCGCCTGCCTGCTCCCGCTTCCGCCTCCGTTGTGCTGCACTCATGCTGCACCTCATGGTGAGCTGTTCAATCACCAAGTGATGCTGATGGTGAGTGTGTTTTCAAAGGTACCTCTCCCTCTCGTCCCCGCCCTCCCTGCTGCCTCGCCTGCTTGCTTGCTCCCGCTTCCGCCTCCGCTGTGCTGCGCTCATGCTGCACCTCATGGTGAGTTGCACAATAACAGAGTGCCTCTGACGGTGATTGTATTCAAAGGCACCTCTCCCGCTCATCCTCGCCCTCCCTTATGCCTCGCCTGCTTGCTCTCGCTTCCGCCTCCGCTGTGCTGCCGTCATGCTGCACCTCATGGTGAGTCACGACTCCAAGAAGTGATGCTGATGGTAAATCTATTCAGAGGGGCCACTCCCGCTAGTCCTCTACTGCTCGTCCTCTCAACCTCCTTTCCGCCTTCCCTGACTCCCCCTCTCAGTTTTGAGATGCCTCAAAGCTCAACGCACACTTCTGTCATCTCAAATTTTGATGTGTCATCATCAACCCGCCGCTTCTCTGTCTCTCTCTCACCTCCCCTCTTGCAGGAGAAAGGGGAGGTACCGTCACCTGCCTTTGAGTTTACTTGTTAAGTCATTCCAAACCCAACCTTCCCTTCTCCTTTCCTCACTCACTGTCTCTTGCCCTCCCTCTCGCAGGAGAAAGGGGAGGTACCGTCACCTGCCGTTATTCCCACTCCGCCGCCCATCCAGCTGTCAGCAGATCAGATCATATCCTCCTTCATATCAAATCCCGCCAACAAGCCCACCTCCCCCGGATGCGACCTCCCCCTGCTGCTCCACAAGCTCTACCTCCTTGACGTGTGCCTTGGCCAATCGCAGCCCGCCACGTCAGTGCACGCCATGCGGGATTGGCTGACGTGGCTGCAGGCTGCTGCAACCAAGCTGTCCACCACCGACACGAGAACAGGCGCCGGCCAGGTAAGCACCTCACTTCACCGCCCCCCCCCACCGGCCCCACCTCCCTTTTCTCAGCTCTAGCAACCAAGCGAAATGACTTTTGTGACTCCATCAGGAGATAGTAGGGTAAGTAACATTCTTAGGGTGACTTCTAAGTCAAAAGGTGACTTTTTTACTTTTGAGTGGACTTCTGAGTCGACTCAAAAGTCTTTCTTAGGGTACTCTGATGTATGCATTGTCTTTTCTGTATCTTCCTTGTGCTGATTCAGGTGCGGCACTGGGCTTTTTTCCTCCGGACCAAGCATCGCGTGTTGGCCTCCCAGCTCTAGCTCGCACTGACAGTATGCTACCGGGAAAAGCTATAGCTAATCTACCAATCGTAATTCATCTGCTTTGTTTGTGAATCTGGTGTTGGGTGCACACTGCACACATGCACCCTCCTGTTGTGAAAAAAAACACTTTGAATAACAGGGGGTTCAGAAAGATTCTGAAAGTTGACTCAGGTCAACCCTAAATACAGTTGCGTGATAGTTAAAGTTGACTCAGGTCAACCCTGAACACCTCGTAGTGGTCGCTGGGCACACAGTTACTGAGGTCAACCCTGAACACTTCATAGTGATGGTTGAGGGACTTGACCCCATACAGCTTCCAGCAGCTGCCCAGCGCTCCAGGCGACCCAAAATAAACAGCTGACTCAGGTCAACCTGGAACATTTCTTAGCGGGTATCACTGTGGTAGTTGACTGAAGAGTTGACTGAGGTCAACCCTAAACACCTCATAGTGGTGGTTAAGAGACTTGACCCCATGCAGCTTCCAGCAGCTGCCCAGCGCTCCTCCTTCCGCACTGGGAATGGCATAGAAGACTCGACGCACACGCTGATGCACCAATGCCATTGCACACCTGGGAGGAGGGGAGAGGGAAGGAGAGGAGAAAATGAAGGTGCTCTTTATGCCGGTTTGAGATAGTTTGAAGACCGAACCAACCAGCTAATGCATGAGGTGGTGCATAGCGTACCAGCAGACGACTGTGGAGAGAGCTCACTTAAAACTGGAGTCCCAAACAGCCCGAAACTGCCTCAACCTTCCTAACTTTGGTTGGGTGTGATCCAGTTGATACCGAGCTCTCCTCGCAAATTGTTGGGACGATTTTCGCCAAGCGAAGTACTGTTCAAGCGAGGACGATAGTGGTGACAAATTCGCGAACACATTTGCAGTCCGTCCGAAACAGTCAGCGAACGAGTTCTGACGTAGCATTCCATATCTGGTTACACTCGCGACTTTTTCATTCTTAGCGACCCGCTACCACCGATTTCGACACCACCCTGGCTCGCGATCCAGTCACCTTTCTCTCCCCTTTCAACCTTCCTAACTTAGAAACTCTTGGACCTCCGGTTTTAATGAACGACTCATGCAGCATCACCCACCCACACCAGTGACACCACCCATCACTCACATGATGCAGGGCTCATGCAGCAGGAAGGCATCGAAGCCCGTGCAGAGGTATGGGCGGACAGCAGAGCATGGCGGTGCATTTGGAGAGACAGCAGACCGTGCTGGGTCACCTAGTCCCTGAACCTGTGCACCAGAGAGCAGAGAAAAAGAAGAAGGAAAAGAAAAAAAACAAGAAAAAAAAAAAAAAACGGAAAGAAGAAAAGAAAAGAAAAGGAAAGAAAAAGAAAGAAAGAAAGAAAGAAAGAAAGAAAGAAAGAAAGAAAGAAAGAAAGAAAGAAAGAAAGAAAGAAAGAAAGAAAGAAAAAGACAGTGGAATAGTGCAGAAGCAGAGGTATATACAGAGGAGGGGGGGAAAGAAACAAAATATGTACAAAGACTGTGCGGCAAAGTGATAAACAGGTTGGCAAAGTGATAAATAGGTTGGCAAAGTGATAAACAGGTTGGCAAAGTGATAAACAGGTTGGCAAAGTGATAAACAGGTTGGCAAAGTGAAAGGAGGAAACAACACGGGTGGGATATTCAATTCAATTGTGTTGATGACATGTTATTTTCCTATTCACACCCTCCCATCCCTCCCATCACTCCTATCACTTTCACAACTCACATCATTGCCCTTTCGCCTTTTCAAAGGAGGCCACTTGCCATCTCTCTTCGCCTCCATGCCCGCTTCCCTCACCTCTTCCCCTTCCCCATCCAGCTCGATCTTTCGCTGCTCCCCTTCCCCCTGCTCCCCTTCTCTCTCCTCTTTCTCCTCCCCCTGTGCAGCCTCAGAACCACCCCTTTCTGATAAAGCTGCACCCCTTGACTCCTCCCCACCGCCATCCATGAACAGTGTTTTGTCCTGTGCCGCCTCACTGGGGAACAGTGCTCGGTCCCAGGCAGCAGCAGCAGCAATCGCAACCATCACCGCATGCCCCAAGGGATGCCCCAACCTCCCTCGTGCGAAATTCTCCTCCCTGCCATTGTTTCTTGCACACGGATTGCTATTCCGCTTTGCTTCACTGCACGTTGTCGCCGTTGCTGTTGCTCCTGCCGCTGCTGTCGTCGCTGTTTCAACTGCCGCGGTGGCTGCTGCTGCGACTGGTGCTGTGGCTGCTGCTGTGGTTGCTGTGGTTCCTGTTGTCGTTGTTGTGGACATGGCTGTTGTGCCATGCGCCCTTCTCGTCTTCTTACTTCGCCGAGAAGCGGGCGCAGCGGGGTTTTGAGCAGAGGCGAGAATTTGCCCGTTGCTAGGGTCGGCGATGACAGCCATATTGAACCCCTGAAAAAGAGACAGTGAGAAATAACAAGAATGGGGGTTTAGGGAGAGACAACGACTTTTGAGGCGCCTCAAAAGAATGGGGGTTTAGGGAGAGACAACGGGGTGAGAGGGAGAGGATTGAGGGGAAGTGGAAGAGAGAACGGGGGGAAGTGGAAGAGAGAACGGGGTGACTCGGGATGAATTGGGATGAATGGGAACAAGATGTGGAACGGAAAGGGGGAGGGGAGGAGGGAGGAAGGGGCAGAGAGGTTTGGAAGGAATAGCGGTGGGGGGAAAGAAAGGGTGAGAAAAAAAGCCAGAAGATGTAACAGGGATGCACCTCGACACAGCATGGCCGCAGCAACCCCCTATGCTGCACACACAACGGTTCTGACTGGTCACACGAACCGCACTGGTGCCACCCCTCCTCCCAACGTCCCCCAAGTCCCTCCTCCTGGTGCCTCATATCCACAGCCTCCCCTAGCTTCTCCTCTCTTTCCCCATTCTCCGCACTCAACGGTTCAGTGTGGCCACATGAACCGCACTGATGCAGCTTCCCGTGTCCCTCCTCCCAACGTCCCCCAGGTCCCTCCTCCTGGTGCCTCATATCCACAGCCTCCCCTAGCTTCTCCTCTCTTTCCCCCACCTCCACCCTCTCCGCCCTCTCTCTCCTCTCTCCACAGTCATCCCCTTGGCCATTCAATTCTCTGCCTCCCTCCTTCCCTTTATATATAGTCACTCGCTCACGAGCATCGCTGCCCGCTCTTCCCTCACAAGCCTTCACGGCCTTCTCTACAATCGCTCGGAAGCACTGTTGGATGTATGTGGCTGCAGCCGGTGTGACTGTGGAGGGGGGAGCAGCAGCGCCACTGCCAGGCCTGGTTGGGAGAAATGTGATGTGAAGAACGGTAAAGCAGTGGAGACATGTTGGAAGGAATATGTGACCCACATCACACGGAAGCACTGCTGGGTGCATGTGGCTGTAGCAGGTGTGACAGTGGCGGGGGGAGCAGCAGCGCCGCTGCCAGGCCTGGTTGGGAGAAACGTGCAGAACGAATATGAGGGCCACATGTCCACAGTACGTGTAGCATTTGCAACACATATATATACGTGTTGCGAATGTCAAGATGTTGGATGTTGGATGCATTTAGCAGCCGCAGATGCAAGAAAAAGGAACCAGAAGTTCTGAAGAACAAAGGGTCCCGTGAAGGGCTGCATTCATTGACGGATGCACCCCTTCACGTGTAAGCCCAGCATCTCAAGGCCGGGGATGACGTTTTGCGTTGAAAAACGCAGATTTAACACGTACAGCGGTGGGTGGAAGGATGTGGGCCAGACTGACTGTTGCTCCTGCCACCGCTCCTTTGTGCGAGGGGCGTGGGCCGGCACCTGCATACAAGTGGTGGGTGCATACGTATAAAGTTTCGACCTGGATCCAGCAGGTGACTCGTCCTACTCCAGCAGGTAACTTGTCCTAATGGCAGAGCTTAGGCGAGGGGCGTGGGCCGGCACCTGCATACAAGTCACAGTAAATCACAGTGTGAGGAAAATTAACAGTACGGACAATATGAATGATACGGAACAAATGAATATGAACAACAACAGCAGACCCACCTGAGTTACAACAGGCTCCAGCCCGTGCTGAGTCACCAGCTGTAGCAGAGGCTCAGGAAGAGCCAATGGATCGCTGCCAGGTGTCAGCACAACGTGCAGCGAGACGGCCCGGCCTGGAGGAAGAAGGAAGGAAGAGACACACGTGACATGGCATGAGTAAAACCTCAAGCCGCCTTACAAAGCAAAGGAAGTGAGACGTGGCATAAAATGCTCTCTTGTTCTCACTCTTACACTTATACTCTCCTCTCCTCTACGCTTTTCCCTTTCTCCATCACCCCATTCCCCCCACCCCTCACCCTCTCACCTTCCCCTGTCCTCCGCACTCTCTTCACATGGTGTAGATCCCGCAGCGGCGCCACTGACGCCAGCTGCCTGGGTGGGGGCAGGGGAGTGGGGGTTGGTGTGTGGGGGGTGGGGGAGGGGGGGAAAAGAGTGGGAGCCAGGGAAGAGGGCAAACACACCAGGTGATTCTGAGTTGCTGCGGTTCTGAGTCTTTCGCAAGTGCCGAAGCTCCCACAGTGGTGCTACTGACGCATTTCGGGAAAACTGCAAGGGGAATGACGATGATAGAGGGATAGAGAAAAGGACAAAATACCTGATCAACACCTGATCAATGACCACCTGAACAGCAACCACCTGATCAACAACCACCTGATGAACGACCTGATCAGGCAGACGGTGTCAAGCCAGCTCACTTTATTAACTTATTCGCAAGTGCAGGTTTCACCTCTGCCACCACAACCGGAACTGCCAATAACGAGGACAAAGAAGAACAAGGTCAGGATATAGTTACTGCTCGGAAATCAATTGGTCCCATCCAACGAAACGCAAGGCCGCATCTCACGCGAAGCACAGGAGCCGTGCACTCTAGAGCATCGGACGGTCGAAACGAGTTTTGAGATATCGCAATCACACGAGCCTTGCACTCTAGAGCAAACCAGGGTCGAAAACGCTGTTTCCTAGACTTGAAAAGCACGACCCGAGTCATAGGTTGGACGTCATGAAGAATTTCATGTCTCGTGAGGCTATCAATGCTGCGAGCGCGCTACCTGTGGCATCGTGCGGCGGTTCGTCCTCCCCTGGAATATGCTGCAGCCACGAGGGTAGCAGCTCCTGCTGCTGATTCGCTTGAGCTGCCATCGCGCTTGCTGCTGTAATCTCTAGCGCGACGCGAGTAAACAAAGGGTTTGGACAGCGGGTATTCAGTTATAGTAACCAGTCATTTGCGATTTGCGACGCTGGTCAAGCTTTTGTTGTGATGTGACAGAATCCAGGTTCTTCGGGAATATTTTGTGAGCAGGGCGTGTTCGGTGGTTTGATCAGCTGTGAACAGTTTGACGGTATATCCTGGTTCTGCTAGTTCCAAAGCGGTGATGCCACTCATTAACCATCTCAACCACTACGCATCGTATCTAAACGCACTTAACGCATCACACATAAAACTGAGAACACCTTCAAACGTAACAGACTGCTCTTCGTTATAGTTCACAAGCACATGTTAAACAACAAATTTATCATCCCCAAGAAAACTAGCAACACCGCCCCCACAAAATAGGGGTGTTTTCTCTGCTTATCCTCGTGGCGCGTCACTCCACCGTAGTCTCTCCACTTGCCACTTTGGTCACACCGACTAGCGTTTATTCCTGCGACCGTGTTAGTCGACTCAAAGAGTTTTTTAGGCTCCTCAGAAGCACTGGAATTGTGACTGTGGTTAGTCGTTGTCAAGAGTTATTTCAGTAACGTTGCGCGGTCATTTCAACTTTGGCTCTCTGACGACTAGTGGGTCTCTTAGTCTCTCAGGCGTTTTTTTCTGCCCTGTTTCTCTGTTCTCCTCTCGTTCGCCTCTTTCTCGAAACGTGCGAATACTTACTTACGTAACAGTTACCGAATAGTTCGCGAGTCGCGAGCTACTTACCTTGCCACTAAGGCAGTAATGGAGCGGTCTAAGCGGAGGCGAGTCGCCGTGAACTACGCCAAGCTAGCCGCGGGGGTTCAGGCGGAAGAATCGGACGAGGAGGAGGAAGAAGATAAGGGAAAGAAGGGGAAGAAAGAGAAAAACGAGACGAAAGCGAGGTCGACACGTGGCGGACGCGGATTGGTCGCGGTTGCGAGCCTTGCAGCTGCTGCGCCGTCCGCTAGTACCAGGGCGCGGAGCGCGCGCGGGGGGGGAAGTTCTGGCGCGGCGGAGAGTTCCGCGCGCCAGGCGGTAATTGGCGGGCGGAGGGTGGGCTTGCGCGTTCTGACTCCGCGGAAAACGGGGGGAGCGGAGGCAGTAGCGGCAGAGGAAGCGGAGGAGGAGGAAATGGAGGAGGAGGGAGGCATGGGACAGGTGAAGAGGAAGAGACGAACCAAGAGCGTGGCGGATTTGAGGTGAGAATGGGTCTTGACGTAGAGTGGAAGCGCAGGAAAAATGAAGGAGAGAAAAGACGAGGCGAATAGGCGAAGCTAATTCTTAGGTGCCTCAGGAAAAGTAGGAGGCATGGGAGAGGTGAAGAGGAAGAGACGAACCAAGAGTGTGGCGGATTTGAGGTGAGAATGAGGAGAGAAAAGATGAGAGCGGGGAGTATTGAAATGCGACAAGAAAATTGTCACAAGCCCCCTTGCCCGCAGCCCCACATGCCCCCACCGCAGCCCCACATGCCCCAAGCTCCACATGCCCCCACCGCAGTCCCACATGCCCCAAGCTCCACATGCCCCCACCGCAGTCCCACATGCCCCAAGCTCCACATGCCCCCACCGCAGTCCCACATGCCCCAAGCTCCACATGCCCCCACCGCAGCCCCACATGCCCCAAGCTCCACATGCCCCCACCGCAGCCCCACATGCCCCAAGCTCCACATGCCCCCACCGCAGCCCCACATGCCCCAAGCTCCACATGCCCCCACCGCAGTCCCACATGCCCCAAGCTCCACATGCCCCCACCGCAGTCCCACATGCCCCAAGCTCCACATGCCCCCACCGCAGCCCCACATGCCCCAAGCTCCACATGCCCCCACCGCAGTCCCACATGCCCCAAGCTCCACATGCCCCCACCGCAGTCCCACATGCCCCAAGCTCCACATGCCCCCACCGCAGTCCCACATGCCCCAAGCTCCACATGCCCCCACCGCAGTCCCACATGCCCCAAGCTCCACATGCCCCCACCGCAGCCCCACATGCCCCAAGCTCCACATGCCCCCACCGCAGTCCCACATGCCCCAAGCTCCACATGCCCCCACCGCAGTCCCACATGCCCCAAGCTCCACATGCCCCCACCGCAGTCCCACATGCCCCAAGCTCCACATGCCCCCACCGCAGCCCCACATGCCCCAAGCTCCACATGCCCTCAGCCCCATCCCATGTTCCTTCCCAAAACAGTCTCCTCTGAGTTTTTTTTCTTTCTTTCTTTCTTTTCCCTCATACTTTCCGCTGTTTTTCCGTTCTTCTTTCCTTCCTCGTGCTGTCTTCTCTGGCGATCGCTCCTGTGCAGATCACTCCCTTATTTCCAAGTGACTTTTGAGTCGACTTGGAAAGGGAAAGTCACCTCGTTCTTCTTGGAAAAGTCACCTCGTTCTTCTTGGAAAAGTCACCTCGTTCTTCTTGGAAAAGTCACCTCGTTCTTCTTGGAAAAGTCACCTCGTTCTTCTTGGAAAAGTCACCTCGTTCTTCTTGGAAAAGTCACCTCGTTCTTCTTGTAAAAGTCACCTCGTTCTTCTTTCCTTCCTCGTGCTGTCTTCTCTGGCGATCGCTCCTGTGCAGATCACTCCCTTATTTCCAAGTGACTTTTGAGTCGACTTGGAAAGGGAAAGTCACCTCGTTCTTCTTGGAAAAGTCACCTCGTTCTTCTTTCCTTCCTCGTGCTGTCTTCTTCTCTCGCGACCGCTCCTGTGCGGATCACTCCCTTATTTCCCCTTTTTTTACTCCTCGCCTCGCAGCCAACTTTTGAGGCGCCTCAACCTCAAAAGTCGCTCGTGTGTGAATCACTCCCTTATTTCCTCTTTTTTCACTCCTCGCCTCGCAGCCAACCAACAGCAAGCCCAACAAGAGGTCGGGGGCAGGGAGGAGCAGCGAAGGCTGAAGATGGGGGGGATGGTGATCATGGCGGTGATGGGGATGGGGAAGAGGATGACAATGAAGGAGCAGAAGAGGAGGCAGAAGAGGTTCAAGATGCAGACTACGATTCTGATGTGAGTTTCCTGCCTGGTGCAGCATACAAAGTAGATGGGGATGATGATGATGATGGGGATGCTGATGATGGGGATGATATTGAACGGGGGAAGGGGGAGGTGGAAGCGGCACAAGATGCGGGCGACTCTGACGTGAGTTTCCTGCCTGGTTGCCTTCATATAACTTCTGAGTTAGAAAGTCCATTCTAATCCACGTGACTGTCTGACAGTAAAATAACAAGAATCCAAAAAATGCAGGTTAGAAAATCCCTTCTATTTTAATGGGACCAGTAAAGAGGTGGACTTGCTTACCGACATACACACGCACGAAGCAGTTCTCTGAGGTACCTATGAAGCAGTCTCATCACACACACACGAGGGCATGCAGGCCTTTAGCATGCACCCAACCCACAAACCCATTCCTTTGCGCTTCTTACCTGTGTAGTCTTTTTCTTGTGATGTTCCTCCCCACAGGATTTTCGTCCTCAGGATCAAGAGCAAGAGGAAGAAGAGGAGCAGGAGAAAGAGGAGGAGGAAGAAGAAGAGAAAGGAAAGGAACAGGAAAAGCCTCGAGTGCTGGTTAGAAGAGCTCGCTCCAGTGCTGCTGCAGCACTCGGGGCAGTGGGTTCGAATGGACGCACGAGAACGCCTGTGGGAGCACCAGTTCCAGCTGTAAAAGAAAGTACGAGAAAGGCTCTGAGCAAGAAGGGGGCGCTGGTTGCTGCTGCATCTGGCGCTCTGAAACGCAAGTCTAGACTCAAGCAGCTGGAGGAGGAGGACGAGGATGAGGGGGAGGAGGAGCAAGAAGGGGGGCAGGAGGAGGAAACGGGACAGGACGGGGAGATGCAAGGAGGGGAAGATAGCAACGGGGGAGAAGAGGAGGATGAAGAGGAAGAGGAGGAGGAGGATCTGTTGGGGATAGGCGTGGATGAGGACGAGTCTGAAGATTTTATACCGGGATTGGAGAAGGAAGGACAGGAGGAGGAGCAGGAGGAGGAAGAAGAAGAGGATGAAGGACTAGGGGAAGCGGAGATGGGGGAGGAGGAGGATGGGGGTGGGGAGAGGGGAGGAGGGAAGAAGCAAGGAAAGGGGTCGCGACAGTCAATGGGGCCGGTATGTGGTGCAGCTGCCTTGTGTGCGAGTGCATTGTGCTGTGCTGCCGTATGGGATGCATCACAACACCATGCATGCGCCACGAAATGTCATTTAATTGCTCTTAACCCAGTTCTCCCCATCACCCCTCTACCCCCCAACCTCCCATCCCCAACCTCCCATCCCCAACCTCCCATCCCCAACCTCCCATCCCCAACCTCCCATCCCCAATCTCCCATCCTCAACCTCCCATCCCAATCTCCCATCCTTTATTTCTACAGCCACCACCCCGGCAACCGTTTCCCAAGGCCCGGTCGCAGCCTGTTTCAACAGCCTTCCGCTCCCATTCCCTCTCCAAGTCCCCGCTGCCCCACTCGGCCTCGCTCCCTGCCTCACGCCCTTTCCCGCGCTCAACCATTAGTCTGGGCAGCAGCGGGAGGGGCGGCAGCAGCAGCTTTGGCAGCGGCGGTGGCATCAGCGGCAGGGGCAGCAGCAGCTTTGGCAGCGGTGGCAGGGGCGGCAGCAGGGGTGGTGGTGCGGCATCTGCTGCGATGGGCGGTGGCGGAGTGAGAAGTCGACTGTTGAAGAAGATGGGATTCAAAGTGCCTCTGGTGAGTCCCAAGTTCATGCCCAAGGCCATGCAACAACCCGCTCCCTCTCCCAGGCAGGCAGCAGCAGCAGCCGTAGCAGCAGCCGCAGGAGGAGGAAGAGCAGGAGGAGCAGGAGGAGCAGGAGCAGCAGCGGCAGGAGCCTTGGAAGGAGGAGCAGGAGCAGCAGTTGGGGCAGCAGCAGGGCTGGTACTGGGAGCAACAGGGACAAGCCCAGCTGCTGCTATTGCTGCCGCTGCTGCTGCTGCTGCTGGTGCTGCTGGTAGTCCTGTAGTAAAGAGGTCTTTATCTGCTGGGGCTAGAGGGCCTAGGAGACTAACTGCGTTTCTAGACTCTCCAGTGGGGGTTAGGATGGGGCGGGAAGGGAGGAGGGATAGTAGAGAGGGGTGGAGGGTAGGTCAGGGAGAGGCGAGGATGGGAGAGGAGATTGCGGTGGGGGAGGTGGGGGGTGAGGGAGGTGAGGGAGGTGTGGGGCTGGGTGGGATGGGTGAGAGGAGTGGTGGGGTGGATGGCCGGGGGGCGGCATTTTTTGGTGCTAATGGGCATGGGTTGGCAGGTGATGGTGGGTCCGAGAGGGATGCGAGAGTCTATGGGATCTCTCAAAACTCAGATATGAGGATGGGTGATGGCGGCTGGAATGGAAAGGGAGAGTTGGGGGGAGCTAGTGGGGGAGGAGAGGGGAGGAGTGAGAGAGAGGATGGGGAGTTTGAGGAAGATACAGGGGAGGAGGGAGGAGGAGGAGGAGGAGGAGGAGGAGGAGGAGGAGGAGGAGGAGGAGGAGGAGGAGGAGGAGGAGGAGGAGGAGGAGGAGGAGGAGGAGGAGGAGGAGGAGGAGGAGGAGGAGGAGGAGGAGGAGGAGGAGGAGCGAGAGGGCAAGAGGGAGGGGATGCTTTAAATGGAGGAGGGAAAGGACAAGGAGTGAATGGAGGGTCCATGGAAGGTGGAGAGGGGAAGGGAGAGGAAAAATTAGTTTGTGGCAATGGGACGGTTGTGAGGGAACAGGTTGAGGAGGGTGCAGATGGGTTCAGTGAGCAGGGAGGACCGACAGGAGCAGACGGCAAGGTAGAGGCAGAAGCAAGGGAAGAGAGAGCAGCAGGGGTGGCGAATTCAAGACACGTGGGTGAAGTGGGAATTCAAGAAAATCCTGAGAGGGTTGCTAGGGACAAGCCTAACGCTAGAGAGCCTAGCAGCAGGCCTGACTCAGAAAAGCACATGAGTATCAGCGGGTCTGAGAAGGACACGAGCCTTGACGTGACTCATGTGCCGTGGGGAGCCAATAGCAGCGATCTCGTTGCCGAAGCTCTCAAGCGAGCTGCCGAAGCTGGAGTGCGGCTGGCAGCCCGAACTAGTCAAGCAGGTCCGGATAGCACAAGACAGAATGGCTCGGAAGCACAGGCTTTTTCAGCTGAAGGGGTAAATCCTGTGGTGGGGAAAGCAGCACATAATCCTGGAGTACCGTAGATTCTGTTTAGGAAGGGCACGACGTAGAGAGCCGATTGGCAACCCTGGTGCATTTTGAGGCGCCTCAAAATGCACCTCCTGTGGTGGGGAAAGCAGCACATAATCCTGGAGTAGATTCTGTTTAGGAAGGGCACGACGTAGAGAGCTGATTGGCAACCCTGGCTTATACAAGTCTTGTGGTGTGGAGTAGTGTAGGGGGTTATCCCACGGTATACTTTACCTGCTCCTGATTTGTTCAATCATGTAGTACTTTTGCCAACCAACTGCACTGACCTAGTAGAAGAGGAGGGGATGGGTGAAGAAGAGGTGTTGCTGGTTATGCAGGGCAGGAGTTTCTGTTGTATCTAGCACTGGTGCTATGCGCCAATTGAGTACAACCAATGCGAAAGCAGCAATAGCAGTACCCTGCTGGCAATGAGATGGGGTCTGAGCTTTACAATGACATGTGCCTTCAAGATTACAATACGAAAATACTTGAACAGCAACATGGATTTACAGTTACAGCCTGGATGTGATGTGATTCCTGTGGCAAGCTTTTGAGATGCGTCAAAAGGCAGCAAAAGAAGATGTTAAGCATCCTATCACAGCCTGGATGTGATTTCTCTAGCAAGCTCAGCCCTGCAACCCCCCATACTGCCTCGTTGCTGCTGATCCCGCTGTTGCTCCCAGAGAGAAAGGGCGTTTCCAAGGAAGCTTCGCAGGGCTGTGATGTACTCGTGCCTGTGGTGCCGCATATGGCCTGGTGGCGGGTGGGGGGGAAGGAGGGGGGTCGGAGGGTAAACTGCTTGAATTGAAGCCAATCGCACTGCATTCAGCTCTGCGGCAACACCCATGGTACCTTTCGGCTGCTGCTCCCAGGGCTACTACTCCAAGGCTGTTCCCAGTGGAGCCTGTCACTCACTCCTGTCCGTGCTACCATCCAAGGCTGCTACTCCTGTCCGTGCTACCATCCAAGGCTGCTACTCCTGTCCGTGCTACCATCCAAGGCTGCTACTCCTGTCCGTGCTACCATTCAAGGCTGCTACTCCTGTCCGTGCTACCATCCAAGGCTGCTACTCCTGTCCGTGCTACCATCCAAGGCTGCTACTCCTGTCCGTGCTACCATCCAAGGCTGCTACTCCTGTCCGTGCTACCATCCAAGGCTGCTACTCCTGTCCGTGCTACCATCCAAGGCTGCTACTCCTGTCCGTGCTACCATCCAAGGCTGCTACTCCTGTCCGTGCTACCATTCAAGGCTGCTACTCCTGTCCGTGCTACCATCCAAGGCTGCTACTCCTGTCCGTGCTACCATCCAAGGCTGCTACTCCTGTCCGTGCTACCATTCAAGGCTGCTACTCCTGTCCATGCTACCGCTAATTACCCAGTGAAGTTGGGATTGCATGAGCTCACTCAGGAGGACAGGAAATGGTGGATGGAGGAAGGGGAATAGTGAATGGAGGTAAATATTCAGGATGGGCTCATGGAGATTCTTACCCTTTCTATATGTTATGGTGTGTTTTGAGTCGACTCAAAACGCACAAGGGAAACGGTGGTTGGAGTTCAGTTTTTTCGAATGGGCTCACGGAGATTGTTACCCTTATTGTGTATGATGGTGAAATGGATTGCACGGCGAGCAGCAAAGGGAGGGCGCGCACTATACATGAAAGGTGAGTTGAGTGCGAAGGGGAACGAAATTCGAGTTTTGAGGCGCCTCAAAAGGGAGGGCGCACTATGCATGAAAGGCTTTTGAGTCGACTCAAAAGGGAGGGCGCACTATGCATGAAAGGTGAGTTGAGTGCTAGCAGATCCTCTGACATACTTCCAGACAAGACAAACATGTTTCGGCTGGAGGGCATCCCCTACCAGGCCTTCATCAGTGCCTGCGAGAATCAAAGGGAGGGTGCACACTAAACATGAAAGGTGAGTGAGTGCGAAGGGGAACGAAATTCTTTCTTGCCTCATGCTCCGATGCTCCGATGTGCGCCATTCCACCCTCCTCACTGCCACACCCCTCCTCACTGCCACACCCCTCGCCACTGCCACACCCCTCGCCACTGCCACACCCCTCGCCACTGCCTTGCTCTCATACTTGTGGATGAACCCAATGGGTGTCTACTGGGCCCAATGGGTGTCTACTGGGCCCAATGGGTGTCTACTGGGCCCAATGGGTGTCTACTGGGCCCAATGGGTGTCTACTGGGCCTCCCAGCCCCTCTACACACACACCATTCTGTTTGAGGTTGAATATGAGAATTCTCAAAATCAACCTCAGCACACCATTTTCAAACAAATAATGGCCTTCCAGCCCCTCTACACACACACACCATCGCTAGCCCCTCCTCCCCACTCACCAACATGCTTCTGGGACTTGTGCCTGTGCACCTGCTATCCCAAATCCCTTCCCCACTCACCAACATGCTCCGACGTGCGCCAATCAACCCTCCTCACTGTTGCCCCTCGCCCCTGCTGCTCTCCCTCACACAATTTCCCAGAAGCTCAACATGCTCCTGGGAATTGTGCCTGTGCATCTGCTATCCCGAGTCCCTTCCCCACTCACCAGCATGCTCCAATGCGCTCCATTCCACCCTCCTCGCTGCCGCACCCCTCGCCCCTGATGCTCTCGCCCATACACTTCCCAAGAAGCTCAACATGCTCCTGGGACTTGTGCCTGTGCACCTGCTATCCCAAATCCCTTCCCCACTCACCAACATGCTCCGATGTGCTCCATTCCACCTTCGTCAATACCGCGCCCCTCCCCACTGCCTCTCTCTCATACTTCCAGATGAACTCAATAGGTGCCAGCTGGTCGTCCGTGCTGCACAGCAGCAGCACTGGCGCCAGGGGCTGCATAGGAGGGAGCAGGCAGGCCGACGGGGGTACGCAGGTGAGACAATGTGAAAGAGCCCTGCGGCGCCCCTCGCATCCGCTGCCTCTCTCTCATACTTCCAGATGAACTCAATGGGTGCCAGCTGGTCGTCCGTGCTGCACAGCAGCAGCACCGGCGCCAGGGGCTGGAGGGAGGGCAGGCAGGCCGATGAGGCATAGGGGATGGGGGATGACTGATGGGGTATGCGGGTGCAAGAGAAGACGGAGGCTAGGGCGTGCCGTGCCCCTCGCCGCTGCCTCTCTCTCATACTGGCGAATGAACCCGATGGGAGCCAGCTGGTCGTCCGTGCTGCACAGCAGCAGCACCCGCGCCAGGGGCTGGATGGGGGCATGCGGGTGACGCATAGGGGATGGGGCATAAATGATGGGAGTAGGATCCCTGATCTAGGAAGAATCTTCTCTGATCTAGAAGAATCTTCTCTGATCTAGGAAGAATCTTCTCTGATCTAGGAAGAATCTTCTCTGATCTAGGAAGAATCTTCTCTGATCTAGGAAGAATCTTCTCTGATCTAGGAAGAATCTTCTCTGATCTAGGAAGAATCTTCTCTGATCTAGGAAGAATCTTCTCTGATCTAGGAAGAATCTTCTCTGATCTAGGAAGAATCTTCTCTGATCTAGGAAGAATCTTCTCTGATCTAGGAAGAATCTTCTCTGATCTAGGAAGAATCTTCTCTGATCTAGGAAGAATCTTCTCTGATCTAGGAAGAATCTTCTCTGATCTAGGAAGAATCTTCTCTGATCTAGGAAGAATCTTCTCTGATCTAGGAAGAATCTTCTCTGATCTAGGAAGAATCTTCTCTGATCTAGGAAGAATCTTCTCTGATCTAGGAAGAATCTTCTCTGATCTAGGAAGAATCTTCTCTGATCTAGGAAGAATCTTCTCTGATCTAGGAAGAATCTTCTCTGATCTAGGAAGAATCTTCTCTGATCTAGGAAGAATCTTCTCTGATCTAGGAAGAATCTTCTCTGATCTAGGAAGAATCTTCTCTGATCTAGGAAGAATCTTCTCTGATCTAGGAAGAATCTTCTCTGATCTAGGAAGAATCTTCTCTGATCTAGGAAGAATCTTCTCTGATCTAGGAAGAATCTTCTCTGATCTAGGAAGAATCTTCTCTGATCTAGGAAGAATCTTCTCTGATCTAGGAAGAATCTTCTCTGATCTAGGAAGAATCTTCTCTGATCTTAGGAAGAATCTTCTCTGATCTAGGAAGAATCTTCTCTGATCTAGGAAGAATCTTCTCTGATCTAGGAAGAATCTTCTCTGATCTAGGAAGAATCTTCTCTGATCTAGGAAGAATCTTCTCTGATCTAGGAAGAATCTTCTCTGATCTAGGAAGAATCTTCTCTGATCCAGAAAGAATCTTCTCTGATCTAGGAAGAAGCTTCTCTGATCTAGGAAGAATCTTCTCTGATCTAGGAAGAATCTTCTCTGATCTAGGAAGAATCTTCTCTGATCTAGGAAGAATCTTCTCTGATCTAGGAAGAATCTTCTCTGATCTAGGAAGAATCTTCTCTGATCCAGAAAGAATCTTCTCTGATCTAGGAAGAAGCTTCTCTGATCTAGGAAGAAGCTTCTCTGATCTAGGAAGAAGCTTCTCTGATCTAGAAAGAAGCTTCTCTGATCTAGGAAGAAGCTTCTCTGATCTAGGAAGAAGCTTCTCTGATCATCAAGGATCTAATCAGTTACTACCAAAGAATCACGCACCGAGCAGTGGAGAAGGGCCGTCCACTGTGCTGCTCGCTGCCTCTCAAACTCGGGGAGCAGCAGCCAGTCCAGCACCACAGCCGCCGACCGCACCAACGTGTGCCGCACAGACCCGGGCTGCTTGGGTGCTGCTGTAGGAGCAGGAGTAGTAGCAGGAGAAGCAGCAGAGGCAGGAGCAGAACCAACGCTTTGAGGGGTGAGGGGTGGCTGGGAGGTGGCGGACGGTTGAGGGGTGGGGGGCGGTTGAGCAGTTACGGGTGGAGGGCGGGAGAGGAACCTGACGCCGAGGTCTGATGTGAAGTCAACGGGAGAGGAGTCGAAGACCTGCCCGGCAGGAGTACTTGCGGGAGTAGCAGGAGTAGCAGCAGGAGCAGGAGCGGAGCCCGTGGTTTGAAGGATGGTGCGTGGTTGGGTGGGTGGTGGTTGGGAGAGGAACCTGACGCCGAGGTCAGATGTGAAGTCAACCGGAGAGGAGTCGAAGACCTGCCCCGCGTAACACTCTCGGAGGAGCGAAAGGAAGTGCCGGTGGGAGGAAGAGACTGTGCCTTCTCCCTCTGATGCTAACGCTGATGATGGAAATGCTGCTGATGACACTGGTGCTGAAGCCGCTGCTGCCCCTGCTGCACTCGCATCATGACGATGCATTGACTCTTGCGCGGATGGGGAGAGCAGAGCCTGCAGAACGGTACAACAAGAATTTGAACGTTACTAGCTAGGCTGACTGTCCCAAAAAACAATGTCAATAGAGACGATGAATGTGAGAGAAAAAGGATGAGGAACAGCATGAGAGACAGCAAGAGGGACAGCGCAGGGGGCAGTGAGTAGGGCTGGTGTGCATTCTCTGATTTTGCTCACAGGGAAAACGACAACACCACCACTGTTCTGGCGTACCTCCATGATCTTCCACTGGCAGGCCTTGTACCCTCCAGAAAACGACATGAACACCACTGGCCGAGGCCGCCCTGCAAGCTCCTGGGCAGCAGGGAGGAGGACGTCAGGATGTTGAATTGAAATGCAAAAGAACAAGCCAGGATGTTGAAATGCAACGCAACAAAGCAGGTACCACCTGCAGGAGAGATTGTTATTCGTCTAGGCATGAAACACTGAGATGAGTATGTCACTGAAGATGACGTCAATCATCAAATACCTTTTCTAGTTCCGCCAGGACTGCTCTTGCCAGTGCCTCTGCTCTCCAGGGCATCCATCTGATGCGATGCAGTGAAATGTGAGGATGCGGGGAAGGGATTGAGGGAAGGGATGCGGAGAGGGGAACTCGGGGAGAAATTAGGGGAGGACTGCTCTTGCCAGTGCCTCTGCTCTCCAGGGCATCCATCTGATGCGATGCAGCGATGCCAGTGCATCCATGTGAGAACGCGGAGTAGGGGAGAATGAAGGGGAGGAATGCGGAGAGGGGAATTTGGGGAGGAATTAGCGGAGGACTGCTCTTGCCAGTGCTTCTGCTCGATGCGATGTAGTGAAATGTGAGGATGCGGGGGGGGGGAGAATGCGGGGAAGGGAGGAATGAGGGGAGAGGGAGAGGCGCCTGAAAGGGGACTCAAAAGTTTGCTCTCCAGGGCATCCATCCATCTGATGCGATGCGATGCCGTGAAATGTGAGAACGCGGAGTAGGGGAGAATGAAGGGGAGGAATGCGGAGAGGGGAATTTGGGGAGGAATTACGGGAGGATTGCTCTTGCCAGTGCTTCTGCTCTCCAGGGCATCCATCTGATGCGATGCGATGTAGTGAAATGTGAGGATGCGAAGAGGGGGTGAACGCGAGGACGGGCAGGGTGAGGGGCGGGGGAGAATGAGCGGACGGGAAGCATGCGGGGAGGGGGAGAGGCGCCTCAATAGTGAGAATGGGGGGATGGGGAGAATGACGGGAGGGGGAGAATGCGAAGAGGGGGCGAATGAAGGGAGGGGAAGAGTGCAAAGAGGGAGAGAACGATGAGAGGGTAAAGTGCGAATCTTGTGCATTACAGGTGGAGCAGCGGAGGGTGGCAGGCGAGGGCATCCCATCCGCACTCGTTTAACACGCGCAGGTACGCCGCCAGTTGCCGTTGCGTGCTCTGCATCCATCCCATCACAACCACTATCGGCCTCGTACTTGTACTGATACTATCTAAAGTAGCAACACTGTGCTGGTTGAATTGACGCTGACGGAATTCGATAACGGCTTCTGGTAAGGAGCTAGACTGAGGACGAAATCCGTCAAGAGTGGCCGGGTTCTGGCTGCAAGAATCGGCACCGCATTCTTCGTGGCATGGTTCTGAACCGTCGGTTTGTGATGTGCTGCTGTCGTTTAGTGAAGTGGAAGTTTCATGCGCTGCGAAAGGGCCGACATTGGCTAGGTCGTTGCGTTCTTGTAACGAATGCGCGGTACATTCGGACGGAATTGACGACGCTGTTCGATCGGAGCTCGTATCTTGTGCTGTTGAAGACTGGAAAGTTGATCGTCCATGGAATTGAATTGCCGAATGTTCATGAACTTTCGCAGGCTCAGGAATGGAGGAGCTGACTGGTTTGTTCACGACTCGGCTCCAGTAGATTAGAGACTTGCTGTTCTGTGTCTTAGCCATTCTGAAATATTCTTTCTCCTGGACTTTTGCCTGGTTCGCGTCTGACTTTGATGAGAGGGGTTCTTGCAGATGATCAGGATCCAGGAGTCAGGCAGGAGCAGATGCGGGGCTGGGAAGAGGAGCTTTTGGCCAACTACCTTTCTCAACCGTGTTCGAACGTCTAATAACGTTCTAAATTGGAACCGCAGTAAAGCATACCTTGAAATGTATGAGAACCGCGACAGCTCCAGCCTCACAAAATTGTAGCGAAGCCTCATGTTTCGAAACTTGGATCTAGTGTCTCTTTTTCAAACAGCACCGTGCTCCTCAAAAGTCCTGTCCGATACTCAACTGACACCAGTCTCTGGATCATGCGCTTGAATTGGAACACACAGCAAAACGCATCAAAACACAAAACGCATCAAAACACATGTCCTCATCAAAACGCAGCCTCCAACACAAGAACCATCGAGATCATATTTCTGAATCTAGATGCCTAGAAATCTGTTTTTTTTCAGCAAGCAGTTCTGCACGGACTTGACATTCTCAGTCTTGAGTCCGGCAGACCTGGCTAGGCTAACTCACCACGACGACCATCTCTATTTTAGGTTGATCCTCGTCCTTAGCTGGTAACATTGATGCCGTCCATTGTAAGTGGACTCCTGTTCTGGATTCACTTTCCTGCAAGGATCTGCTGATTCTCTAGTGCCTCGATCTCTGCCAAAACGCCGGGATGTGTTATCTACAACGGTTCTAGTCCTTCCACACTACTCTCGTCGTCGCGGAGGCGGTCGGAGGATTCATGGATCGCAGTTGGTTTCAACAGCTGCTGTCTGTGTTCTATTCTAAATAACAATTTCGTAGCATCTCCCACTTATACTTTTTCTTCTTCTTCTTCCTTCTCACCATCAATACGCCGATTCAGCTACCATGATAGGGTTAGGTCAATACGCGGCTCTGAGCCTGGCCACCTTGCTAGGAGTTGTCTACCATGCCTTCTACACGCGGGAACAGTTCTTCCCAGCCATGCTCTACCTCTCCACCTCCAAAATCTGCCTCGTTGTCATGGGGAATATGGCCTTCGTCCTTCTCTTGCTTATCGGCCATATCGTGAAAGCCGTTTTCCTCGGAAAGCTCCGGGAAGCTGAGGTTGAGAGGCTACACGAGCTGTCGCGGCACGAGATCATGGAGACGTGCCTCGCGATGACGATTTTCCGAGAGGAATTTACCTTTTCTTTCGTCGGGATGTTTTCTACCCTCCTTTTCGTGAAGATTTTCCACTGGCTGGCTCAGAAACGGGTGGAGTATATCGAAACGACGCCCGCAGTATCGCGGCTTTCGCACATCCGGATCACCGTGTTCATGGTGCTGCTCCTGGCGATGGACTGCGTGCTCGAATTTCAGGCGGTCTCGTACCTTCTCAAGACCCGCTCCGCTTCCGTCCGGATCCTCTTCGCCTTCGAGTAAGATTGCCGCATTTTTTAACCCTTGCATGGCGCCAAAGAATCTGCGTGCCCTAATTACAGGCAATCTTGTACCTTCTGGAAACTCGCTCCGCTTTTGTCCGGATCCTCTTCGCGTTCGAGTAATCGTCGCGTACGTGTTGTACATGGTAGACACGGTGATGGAGGGACAGTGGTGGGAGCACAAGGCGACTTACACCATTGACAAGGCTGCATGTAACATTGTAACACTGTAACCCCATCCCGTCCCTCTACAGGTACTTCATCCTGGCGTCTGCGATGCTGGCGAACATCGTCAAGTACGTGTTGTACATGGTGGACACGGTGATGGAGGGGCAGTGGGAGCACAAGGCGACCTACATCTTCTACCTGGAACTTGTGAAGGACCTCCTGCACCTGCTCGTCTACCTCGCCTTCTTCTCCATCATTTTCATGTGAGGTTTTTTTTTTTTTTTTTTTGAAACATGTAAATATTTATAACGGAAGGTCTGAGAAAGGTAGATATCTGTTGTTGCTATCTTGCGAAGATGAAGCATTGTGTGTGCTAGAATCATGTTGATGTGAGTTTCATCTCTGCACGTACATCTTCTACCTGGAGCTCGTGAAGGACCTCCTGCACCTCCTCGTCTACCTCGCCTTCTTTTCCATTATCTTCATGTGAGTGATTAAAACAACATCGCATTTCGTTAACTTATCCAGGAAACGGATGTGGTCTTTTTCTTGTGAAATGATTTTTGTCTTCGAGTAAAACATTCAGAAAGATCATACGGTAGCTTTCTTATCTCGTTCACTCTACTTGCAGGGAGGAGATTTGGGCCGCAAATTCCCATCTGAGGGAGGTGGTGCAGGAGAAGGAGGCGGGAGTCAGAGCAGCTACAGGCGCTCTCCAAGGAGCAGGAGCAGACTCCCTCCTTGGAGAGCGTCTGCAGCTGCTCTGACTCCGCCTCCTTCTCCTTCTCTCTCTTTTCATTCGCGACCTCTACGAGACCTGCTTTTGATGACTCATGCTTGTCATTATGCTGTTTCCTGCTCCCCTCGTTTCTCTCCCCCTTCCCTTCAGGACGTACGGCCTGCCCCTGCACCTCATCCGCGACCTCTACGAGACCTTTGATAACTCAAGCTTGTCATTCTGCTGTTTCCTGCTCCCCTCGTGTCGTTCCTCACGCAATGCCAACCAGGACGTACGGCCTGCCACTGCACCTCATCCGCAACCTCCACGAGACCTCCTGCAACTTCCTTCAACGCCACTCATCTTGTTGTTTACTGGTGCTTTGTGCCTCCTCCTCGTCCCCTCCCCTTCAGGGCGTACGGCCTGCCCCTGCATCTCATCCGCTACATCTCAACAAACCTCACTCTTTCTGTTCCTATCCTACCCGTTGCGCCACTCCTCGTTCATCCTCCCCCCCTTCCCTCAGGACGTACGGCCTGCCCCTGCACCTCATCCGCGACCTCTACGAGACCTTCCGCAACTTCCGCATGCGAGTGGCGGACTTCATCCGCTATCGCCGCATCACATCCAACCTCAATGAAAGGTTTCCTGACGCCACTCCTGAGGAGCTGGAGAGGTGCGTGTCTTGGCTTGGTAAAGTCATTCTTTTGAGGCGTGTAACGAGTGTCAGGCAGGGAGCCGCATGCGAGTGGCGTGGCGGACTTCATCCGCTATCGCCGCATCTCCTCCAAGTTCCAACCTCAACAAGAATTTTGAGGCGCCTCAAAATGCACCTCACAGCCGCATGCGAGTGGCGGACTTCATTCGCTCTCCTCGCATCTCCTCCAAGTTCCAACCTCAACATGAAAGGTTCCCCGATGCGACTCCTGAGGAGCTGGTGAGGTGGGTGTGTTGGAGGCTTGGTTGCTTGTTGTGCTTCATGTGCCTTTATCCTGCGGGTTTCAAATCTCATCCTGTACTCAGCATGCAATCCCAATCCTCGCCTCCCCTTCCCATCCTTCCCCCACCCTCCCTGCCTTCTTCCTCGCCCACCTCTCCCCCTTTACCTCCCACCAGGGCGGACAGCACGTGCATCATCTGCAGGGAGGAGATGACGTCAGCCAAGAAGCTTCCCTGTGGGCACCTCTTCCACGTGCACTGCCTGCGCTCCTGGCTCGAGCGCCAGCAGACCTGCCCCACCTGCCGCGCGCCCCTGCTGCAGCCCCAGGCGCAGCCCACGGCCCCCCCTGCCGCTGCTGCCGCCGCCGCCGCTGCGAGAAATGCTGCCGCTGCTGCTGCTGCTGCTGGTGCTGCTGGCGGCGTTGCTGCTGGTGCTGGCGGTGCTGGTCTAGGGTTTGGGGTGCCAGGGGGAGCTGGGGTTGTGCCTCTTGCGCCTCCTGCTGCTGCGCCTGGTGTTGCTCCTGGTGCTGCTGCTGCTGCTGGTGCTGGTGCTGGCGCTGCTGGTGGTGGTGTGGGCGGCGTCATTCCCTTGGGTCAGTTCCGCATTCCTGCAGGTGGGGGTATGCCAGCTGTGCACGTGTTTCACGGGCAGTTGAACCTTCCTGGTGGGATGGGGGCAGCTGGAGCGGGAGGGGCGTTCGGGCAGGGGCAGCAGCAGATGCTGCAAGGGCTGCAGGGACTACAGGGATTGCAGGGGCTGCTAGGGTTGCAGGGATTGCAGGGGTTGCAGGGATTGCAGGGGTTGCAGGGATTGCAGGGGTTGCAAGGGCAGCTGGAGCAGCAGCAGCTCCAGCAGCTGCTATATGCTCAGCAGGTGCAGCAGCAGCAACAGCAGCAGCAGCAGCAGCAGTGGCAGCAGTGGCAGCAGATGCAGCAATGGCAGCAGTGGCAGCAGTGGGGGCAGTGGCAGTACTGGCAGCAGTGGCAGCAGCAGGCTCAGGCTGCATATGCGGCTGCAGCAGCAGCAGCAGGAGCAGGAGGAGGTGCATCTGCAGGAACAGCAGGTACATCTGGAGCAGCAGCAGCAGCAGCAGCAGGTACATCTGGGGCAGGGCCATCTGGGGCAGGGCCATCCGGGGCCTCACCCACTCCTCCCAATGCCACGTCTCCGTCTGCATCTGCTGCTGCTGGCACTCCTGGTGGTGAGGCTAGTGCGAGTGGACCTTCAAGCACAACTGCTGCTGCAGCTTCCACTGCAGTTCCCGCTGCTGCTTCTACTGCAACTGCCACTGCCACCCCCAGTCCAGCTCCCAATGCAAACCAGCCCCCTCCTGCTGTGGCTACTGTCTCTGGATCAGATGCCTTCCTTCGCCAATACAATGCCTGGTACGTTTTCTCTCACCGTTCTGTATTCACTTTTTTTTGTGTGTGCTTTGCAAGGCAGTTTGATCAGACTGGCTGTTAATTACTAGTTCTGGTCATCTGAATATGATCTTTTATAGCATCAGCTTTGAAAAAGGGGTCAATCAGATTTCGTTAAGGGATTGTTTCTTATCATAATCTTCCCTTTGTTCGTCCAGGTTGTCGGCTGCATACCCACAGCAGCAGCACCATCACCAGCAGCAGCAACAGCAGCAGCAGCAGTACCTTCAGCTGCTTCAGCAATACCAGCAGCCACAGCACCAGCAACAGCAGCCCTACCAGCAGCAGTACCTGCAGCAATACTTGCAACAGCTGCAGCAGCAGCTAACAGCACAGGCTCAGGCTCAGACACAGGGACAGGCGCAGACTCAAGGGCAGATACCTGTCGGTTCTCAAGGGCAGGCAGCTGGCCCCACTGGTTCTGGTGCAGGTGCATCTGGTGCAGATGAGTCTGGTGACGGCACATCTGGTGCAGGTGCATCTGGTGCTGGTGCAGGCGAACAAGCACCTCAGATCCCCCTCACTGCAGCTCAGGCCCAGGCCACTGGGCCGGCTGCGTCCAATAGCACAGGTGCAGATGCCTCTGTTGGCCTGAACAATGGTGTGAGTGGTAACAGTGGTGGTAGCAGTGGCAGTGGTAGTGGTGGGAGTGCTGCTTCACCTAGTGCTGCTGGTGTGGAGCCCTCCCAAGGAAGCAGAGAGGGGGGACAGGGGCAAACAGAAGCAGGTGAAGGGCAGAGCTAGAATGGTGATGGTATTGTTTTCCATAAAAGTCTCTAGTGTTTGCTGGTATCACCAGAGCAGGGCAACTGCTAACATGGCAGCTGCTTCTAGATGAATAATTCATGTTCATGTTTGAATTTCTCCAAAAACATACTTACGAAAAAAGGCATTACGAATGCTGTACTGATCCATTTCTGATGTAAGTAGACATGTAACATGTGTTTGAGCTATGCTTGAGGCTAGGGGACTGAGAATGAGGAGCCCAGGCTTCCTTTGAGGCCAGGCCAACAAGTTGCGCATGTACTGGTAGTAAAATGCTTCACCCAACAACTTCTGATGCCTCTGCTAGAATCTGTAATGCATCTTTAAACTCTTGTGATTCTGTCAGAGTAGCATCATCTTTTGCTCCGTCCTGCATCAGAGGGAGAGCGCGAGAGACAGAAAGCAGAACAGAAAAGAACAGACGGAACTAAGAAGTGAAAGCAGGACGGAATGCAGGACGGGGGGGATGGAGAGCGGGATCTGAAGACTGAACAGAGCCACTAAAAGCAAAGCTCGATGCGACAATGGGGACAAATGTGGTACGCTCGATGCACATTGGACCCAAGGTCACTGAGGGTCACCATAGGGAAACCCTGGCGTACTAGACCAAACTTACCAAACCGGGACGTACCTAAAAAAACCATTTGGCACGTCCGCATTTTGGTAACCTTTGAAGGACAGTTCCACAATTGCACTCACCACTGTGGATTCAAGGTCGTAGTAGGCTGCTTCTAGTCGCTTGCGACAATCAGGCACCATGTTTTGAGTCGACTCAAAAGAAGGACAGCCCCACAATCGCACAATCGCACTCACCACTGTGGATTCGAGGTCGTAGTAGGCTGTTTCTAGTCGCTTGCGACAATCAGGGACCATCATACGTGATTCGGCGAGAACGTTTTCCTGCATGGGAGCACGACCACAACCACGAGCTTTAGCAACTGGCAGTTTCAATAAATGGAGCAAGCTGCGTATAAGAAAAACGAAACTCCGTGCCTGTTGTTTAATGTCGTGCGAATCTGCACCGCTAGCCTTCATCTCCTCTACTCTCGCAGCATCCTTCTCTACTTCTTTCTCATATGACTTCAACTCTTTCAGTAACCGCTTGCAGATTCCTGCTCGCAGCTTCAAGGACTTGAGATCCGCCATGGTCAACTATTAATCGAGGCGGCGATACTCAGCAATAGGCGACGAAACAGTTTGAAATGAAAACACTCGCGAAGCTCGCGGAAGAAACGCTCCTCCTGGTTTCGAACAGGAATCGTGTAAGCTAACGATAGTCCCACGCCGAAATGCGTAAGGAACTCAGGTCAAATGATGGATTTGCAATCACGTACTCTTCATTTCAACTGATCAACCAAAATGAAATTCCCAAGGGCTCGGAGGGGCAGGACTGCAAATCGCTGAAATTTCATGATTTGTGAATTACGAATTCGGTTTTGCAACTTCGCACTTCGAACATATGTTCTGTCCAAGAACGGATTCGCTTGTATCGCGATACGTTCGCACCCTCCCCCCCCTTGCTTCGCAAAGAGGGTTCAAAACAATTGACACGCAGCCACAGAGCGAAACGACACGTTCTCAAGACGAAATCGCAGATGGTTGAAAGACATGAGACTGGACTGGACTGCAAGTTCCACCTACTGTACTGGCAGCAGAATGCAGCCGCACAAAGCCGAGCCGACCTGAACCTACCTTCCCCAACATACAGGTCGCATCCAGGACGTCTTTCTGGTCTGGGTGGGCGATGAGGCTTCAGAAGACACTGCATATGTCCTGGTTTCAGGAATTCCCGGTTTGCAAGTAGCGTGCGCAACGTAACTTAGGGTTAGAAATAGTGGAATCTGGAGAATCTGGCACACGTTAGAAGCGTTTATTCCGTTAAAATACTTCTCAAACAGTTTTGAGTCAACATGTGCGAGCTCCTTACACGACGAACGGTTTCACTAGTACGGCTCAACAGATTGCTTGCAGGTGCTGAGCGTTCCTAGTTGGTGCAAAACACAACCTTCACTCTCACGTTTCAATAGCATCGCATTTCTTCCACTTGCCAGAAGTCAACGTCCACTTTTGAGAATCTCATAACTCAGTAGTCAACGTCCACTTTTGAGAATCTCAAAACTCAGTAGTCAACGTCCACTTTTGAGAATCTCAAAACTCAGTAGTCAACGTCCACTTTTGAGAATCTCAAAACTCAGTAGTCAACGTCCACTTTTGAGAATCTCAAAACTCAGTAGTCAACGTCCACTTTTGAGAATCTCAAAACTCAGTAGTCAGCGTCCACTTTTCGCGCGTCTACGCACCCGTAGCCCCCTCGTCCTGGCTCTCTTCCGTTTGCTCCCTTTCGCCTGACCTTTCTATTCTTCCTTCCATTATCCGTAGCCTCTCACCCTAATACTCATACTTCCCTTTCCTTCCTCCAACCCCCATTCTTGCGTGTGCAATTGTTCCCTGGCAGCGTCATCCCTTCTCGCCTTATTCTTCACAACCACAACAGCCCAAAGTACGTGCTTGTTTCCGCACCATTTCACGCTCCTCTGCGCCGTTCTACGCTCCCTCGCGCTATTTCAACCTCCTCACCTACGCAGTCTTTCTGACCTCCTTCCCACGGGGTCTGCTTTTGAGTCGACTCAAAAGCAGACCTCCTTCCCACGGGGTCAGGCATCTTGGTCTCCCTCGTACACCCACACTTCCAGTACATCCCAAAACTCTCTCCCCTTCCCCCCCCCCCTCTCCCACACAGCCTTTCTGACCTCCTTCCTGCACGGAACGGGCGTCTTGGTTTCAAAGCATTCCAAAAACTGCCTCTTTCTCCTTTCCGTCTCTCCCCTCTCCCACACAGCCTTTCTCACCTCCTTCCTGCACGGTTCAGGCATATTAGCCTCCCTCGTACTTTCAGACTCCTCCGAATCCTGCCCGGGAATCTTAGTTCAGCTGACCGTGGGGGGTAATGTTGAAAATATTCCTCTCTCTCTCATGGTAGAGCGGCCCAGGAGCCCAGCAGCAGTGACGGGAGGGGTACAAGTGAAGAGCACAAAAAAAGCGGAACAGGTGAGTTGGCTGGCTGTGTGGGTACGTGGATAGGTGGGTTGTGAGAGGTTTGTAAAAAGGTTGTTAGGAAGTGTCCCTGTCTCCTGTATCCCTTGTCTTTCAGAAATAGGTGGGTAACAAGGGCCCCTGTTTTCATTCAACCCACCCCCCACCCCCCCCCCCCCCCCTCTCCCCTCCCCATAACCCCCCATACCCTGACCCCCTCCCCTTCCCTCTCCCTTTCCCCCAGGTCCGTCGTACCTTCAGCTTTTTCCACCCCACTCCCCCCCCTCTCTCCAGCTCTTCCGGTTTGCCTCTGACTGGGAGAGCATTGCACCGACTGTCTACTCGGTGAACAGCTGCCAGCCTGGCACCAACCTCCACCTGCCATCTCTCGCCTGCCAGAAGGCCTACCTGTGGCCGGCAGAGATGGAGTGGTGGATCGTAGCAGAAGAGGAGATGGCAGCGGCTCCTTTCCTCCTCCTTTTGGGGACCCTGTGGGTGACTCCTCTCTTCCAACAACCGATTCCCTGTGCCTCCCCTCCCTTTCCCACCTCAACCCCCACTCCTCTCCAGCTGTTCCGGTTTCGCACTGAATGGGAGAGCACAGCACCGACTGTATATTCTGTAAACAGCTGCCAGCCTGGCACCAACATCGACTTGCCGTCGCTGGCCCGCCAGAAGGCGTACCTGTGGCCGGCAGAGATGGAGTGGTGGATCGTAGCGGAAGGGAGGATGGCGGCGGCTCACAGGGACCCTGTGGGGGACGCCTCTCTTCCACCCCGATTTCCCGCACCGAAATACGGGGCTGAGTTTGCGAGCGATGGAGTGGTGTATGGCGGGGCGTACGTCAGCGAGTTACGGTAAGTTGAATGAGCCACAGTAGGTTGGAGCGAGCTACAGACAGTGAGGCTTTGCAAGCTACAGTTGGTTGGAGCGAGCTACAGTGAGGCTACAGTAGGTTGGAGCGAGCTACAGTGAGGCTACAGTAGGTTGGAGCGAGCTACAGTGAGGCTACAGTAGGTTGGAGCGAGCTACAGTGAGGCTACAGTAGGTTGGAGCAAGCTACAGTGGGGCTTTGCAAGCTACAGTAGGTTGGAGCAAGCTACAGTGGGTCTTTGTGAGCTACAATAAGTTGGCGCGAGCTACAGTGACAGTGAGCTAGAGTGAATTTCACCGAGCTACAGTCATTCGCCATGATAAGTTGGGCTTTTGCTTTCCCCGGTCCCATCAGCAGGTTGTCTTGTCTACTTTGAATTCTCACCTGCCTCCCCTGGTGCTCCTCATCCGTCCTATTTAATTCTGTCGGTATTGATTGCAGGTTTAGCTCTCGTGTGGAGCTCAGCTATACAATCACGCTCGTCGGGCCCTCGACCAACCCAGTGGCATTAGAACTTCAATTTCTACAAAGCATCTTGAAGGATCGGGTTGATCACCTTTGGCTGCCATGCTTCTGGTTCACGTCTCTGCCCCATGTGTGGAATTGCTATGGCATCCATTCACTTTCTTACCGAGATTTTGGATTGTTATACGAGGGAGAGGTTTCTGGATTGGTTTTTAGGAGTCTAAGGTTTAGAATAGGTGACTTAGAGGTGGATGGTAATTTAACAGCCCTGCCACATGTTCGGCATTTACGAAAAGGTTGATGCTATTGTTACTGTACCAACCATCCACTTATGTTTGTTCCTTGTACATTATCCTCTCTTGTGTTTGTTCTTCTAACATAATAAAGGTTCTAACATTCAATATTATAGGGTGCCGTGGGCTTTCAGTCCATTGGGCTTCTCTCAAACCTTCCAGAAGATGCTCATGTCAAACGAGCGTCTTTGCCAACTTGAATGTCAGTGCTGTTGGATACAATCGGTCCTAAGCGCCTCTGTCGTGTCGAAACACTTAAGGCACAAGCGAAGCAAAGCATATCGAGGCACCAGCGAGTCAACCCTCGGAGGTTGAAGTAACTGCTGGAGATTACGCGAAAGTCAAAGGTCAGCGACCTTTGACCTGACAAATACAGCGCGACAGCAAGGACACACAACTGACTCGTTACAGAGCAGTTGCCCGAGTCGTCACTGTATCGAACCGCAACAGCAACAAGCAAAACGGTTATTACCGTATCCTTTCATATTCCTTGTACTCTTATATAATCTTGTATCTCTTTGCTTTAATCAACTTACTTTGCCCTCACATACTAGCGCAAGGTGGTTCACAACTCTTTATTAACGCTTCCGCTACTACACCAACTCTACCCAGAGTTCACCCCTGCAAAGATCCTAAGGGCTTTTTTCAGCCCAACATGGTATGAGAGCTATCAGGGGGAATTCAACTTCTATACCAACAGTATCAATCAGCATGGCTACACAAAAGGAAAGGAGCAACTCCAACGGCTCCCAGGGCACTACTCCTACTCCACCTCCTGCCTCTAGCCTACAGACAGAGGAGGGCACGGCAGCAAGACCCAGAGGAACATCTACTGAGACTCCCGCGAATCAACCTGCAGACTTCGACCAGAGCATGATGGAGAAGTTTTTCTCCTTCATGTCCTTCTACGAGCAACACCAGCAATCGGCACCTGCGCAGTCACACAACAGCAACAACAACGGAGCAACACCCATGAGTCTCGACGGCTCATCATATGCACGAGGAAATCAGCAACAGCAGCCTACCTTTGCTCCGTACGAGCGCGGGTCCATCAGCTTCATGCCACACCCACAGCCCTCACCTGGACAAGAAAAACCACTGGACGCATTACAAGTTCAGTCGCAAGTCGCACACGTTCTGAAGATGCAGACGTCAAGACCCTTTGATGTGAGAATAAGTGAACAGGAATGAAATGACTAAGTCAGAGTTGGGTACAAATACAACCCTAGAAAGCTGTACCCCATATGTGCTACCCCACTATAGCCTACAAACATGCATCAGCTATAATAATCTGACACACCCCCATAGGCAAAGTGGGGGAGAACAAGGGGTCACAAGACCAGTCAAGCAAAGCACGATCAGGGTGGATCACAAAGTCACCACACAGTCCGAGCACAAGAGCAGGGCCAGAGGCAAGTTCACATGCAGGAGTACAGCCATATATATAAAACTATACAAGCAGGAGCAGGTATATAAATATACGTCACAGTACAAGTAAAGTCAAGAGGAGAGCAAGTGAGGCAAGACAGGCACAAGACCCAGCTGGGTGCAAAAGCGCTGATGGTCACAAGGCGCGAGTGCCTTAGTGAACACATCAGCAGTGTTGGCCTCAGAGGCCACGTACGCAAGTCGCAACTGACCACGCTGCTGCAGCTCACGAGCAAGGAAGTAGCGGAGAGCAATGTGCTTCGTTCTGTGCTCCAAGCGCTGCTCTCGACACAAGGCCAGCATGGTCTTGTTGTCTACGTACAGCACTGGAGGAGAACGAGGCTGCTCTCCAAGGTCAGTCAGCAGGTAGGTGAGCCAGCGAAGCTCCTGTGCAGCCATGGCCCCGGCGTAGATCTCAGCCTCACAACTGGAGCCGAGAACCGAAGACGACCGAGTAGACCGCCACGAGACAGAGCCGGAACCAAGACTGAAGGTGTAACCCTGTGACGACCGCTGCGTAGCCTGGTCGTCAGCCCAAGAAGCGTCCGCGTGGCCTGTAAGGACCACTGGACTCCGCCCTCCAAGCACTAGCCCCATGCCCGACGTACTGCACAGGTAGCGCAATACCCTCTTCGCTGCAGCCATGTGCTCTGGTCGGTGTCTCCCAGGGGCAACATAGCGTGCAAGAATGCTCAGAGGGTATGCAAGCTCAGGTCGAGTGCAGGTCATCAGGTACATGAGGCAGCCAACAAGCTCTGGGTACGGGCCACTCGGCTCTACGGACTAATCCGAAGGCAGAGCTGAGAGCGAGTGGCGAGTAGAGAGAGGAGTGGCCTGAGGCGAGGAGTACGTGAAGCCGAAGCGCTGAAGGACCTGCTGCACCATGTGTGACTGAGTCAAGGTGATGGTGCGGCGTGCTCTGTCCCGAGTGATCTGCAAGCCAAGGTAGCTGCGCAGTTCACCCAGGTCTGTGCACGTGTGTCTCTTCAGCAGCTCGGACTTCACGTAGGCGAGTCCAGCAGTGTCCGCTGTGGCAAAGACCAAGTCGTCGACGTACACGAGGATGTAGAACGGCGGCAGTGAAGTGTCGGTGCGCAGAAACAGCGAAGGGTCAGCTGTAGACGGAGCAAACCCAAGAGCCGCAAGCGTAGTCCTCAGTGTGTCGTGCCACTCACGCGGTGCCTGGCGGAGACCGTAGACTGGCCGTCGGAGGCTCCACTGGGTGCTAGGAGGGAAAGTCCCAGTGAAGCCAGGTGGACGGCGCAGCCAGATCTCCTCGTGCAGGCTACCCTGCAGGAACGCAGTGCTGAAGTCGAGAGAGTGAAGCTCGTAGTCGCGCTGAGCGGCTATGTGCACCAGCACCCGAAGAGTGGTCATCTTCGGGGTGGGAGAGAAGGTCTGAAAGTAGTCAACCCCCTGCCGCTGGCTGAAGCCACGAGCAACGTACCGCGCCTTGAAGACAGGTGGAGAGCCCGGCGGCCGCTTCACCCGGAAGATCCACATGCCACTGACGATGTTCGCCCCAGGAGGGGGAACTGCGTCAACGTAGGTGCCTGTGGACTTCCAGGAAGCCATCTCTGCATCCATAGCTGTTTGCCACTGAGAGGAGTAGGGACCCTCTACAGCCTCCGCGTAAGAGCGCGGAGTCGGGATGTCTAGTGCATCCGGGTCTCCCTCAGGAGCAAGCAGTACAGACGCGAGATGAGGTGAAGCAGCAGCCAGACACTGTAACTCCTCTTGCCTGTCCTCTAGGACGTCCATGCCAAGAGCACACTCACCCCCGACGGACGGAGGACAGACAGACGCAGACTCAGCAACAAGACTAGCAGCGTAGTCTAGATGACAGCGAGCAGCAAAGTCGACGAGCTCAGCGACAAGAGCAGACGCAGCAGTGGACTCAAAAGAGGGGTCAGTGACGCCAGTAGCAAGCAGACGCGTGACAGTAGGACTGGCAGCACGAAGGGAGTCCGACTCAGGGTCGGCAAGCGCAGGAAGAGAGGACTCAGGAGGAGAAGGCAAAGGGGCACGCAGAGGAGCAGTGGACGGACGCAGAGACATCCGGTGCGTGCCAAGGACAGGAGGAGGACGCTGACGCGAACTGCGACCACTAGCGCGAGCAGCACGAACAGGCGACGCGGGACGAGACGCAGGCTCACAACGCTCAGCGAGACCTCCAGTAGGACCAGTGTAAGGTGAAGGAGCAGGCAAAGGAGAGGAAGGCTCCAACAGTGACTGCGACTGGACAGGCTATGGACACTCTACCGGAGGCAAAAGACCAAGAACCTGCTGTAGGAGCGGAACGAAGTACGGCCGAGGCCGCGCGGCAGCTCCAGACTCAGCAGGGACAGCACCAGCACCCTCAGCGACAGCACCAGTGCCACCAACACCTCCAGCGGCAGGACCTCCACCAGCACCAGCAGCAGAACCACCGCGAGGACAGACAGCAGTGGTCTCAGCACCAACACCCTCAGCAGCTCCAGCTCCAAGAGGACCCGCAGGCCCAGCAGCTCTGGGACCGGCAGCACCAGCACCCTCGACGGTCGAAGAAGCTCCAGCTCCAGCAGCACGCCTCCAGCGGCGAGCAAACCACTCACGCAGCTCTTGTGGAGAGAGGGGCTCCCGTCGAGACGCAGTAGTAGGAGAAACCCCAGGCTCAGCAGCTCCAGACCCAGCACCCCCAGGCTCAGCAGCCCCAGACTCAGCACCCCCAGGCTCAGCAGCACCCAACTCAGCACCCCCAGGCTCAGCACCTCCAGGCCCAACACCCCCAGGCTCAGCACCCCCAGTAGCAGCACCTCCAGGCCCGGCACCCCCGCGCACAGCACCCCCAGAGTCAGCACCCCCAGGCTCAGCACCCGCAGCAGCACCAGAGTCACCAGTAACCTCGACCGGGTCAACTGCGTCTACCTGGGACACACCTGAGGGGGCAGGAACCTGAGGGGGGAGGGGGTGTACCGTGGGGGGAACCGGCACAAGGAAGTCCGGGGGAGGGGGGAGGGAAGGAGTGCGGTAGGGGAAGAGGCGGTAGAAGGGGACCGACTCGTCGAACGTGACGTCCTGGGAGGACAGAACACGACGAGAGGAGGGGTGGTAAAACTGCCACCCAGGAGCGTCAGTGGGGAAGCCAAGGAAGACACAGGGAGCAGCACGAGGGGACAGCTTGTCCGCAGACAAGTCGCGGACAAACGCCCGAGATCCCCAGACACGGAACGCCGACGCATCGCCAACCTTCCCCGTCCACAGCAAGACTGGGGACATCGCGGGCCGAGAGACCCGGGGGTGAAGGTTGAGCTGATGCGCCGCGTACCTCACCGCAAACGGCCACAGAAAATGGGGGGCAGCCGCATGCATCATGGACGTACGAGCAACATCCATGACCATGCCAATGCGGCGCTCAGCAATCCCATTTTGCTGTGGAGAGTCCGGAAGCCTGAAGGTCTGGCGGATCCCCCGTGCACGACAGTAGTCTCGCAGAAGGCGAGAGGAGAACTCTCCGCCTCTGT